AAGATCTAGTCAATTGGATACTCCATTTACTTACACGTTATTGCATGTGAAAATCTGTTTTTTCGCAATTCTGTTCGTACTGATTGTACGCTTTGACAATAAGTGACTTAAATAGATCAGCTCACTTAAGATGACCTAAAGCCAATAAAAGCGAAAGTGCGATTTCCAGGAAGTAGTAACGAAGGGGGCATAATGGATCGAAGCAGAGCTTTATTCACCTGATGTTTCGCATACAAACCCGAATTCAGCATCAGAAACGGTCAAGTAAGGGTGCTGGATTTTCCAGATGCTGCAGCATTTACAGGACGCATCGGTGGGGACACCACATGCCTATCACAATTGGCATGGAACATCGTACGTGGGAAACCACCGATGTCAAAGTATTTCAAACACATGCCTACTATTACGAAGTAAGTAGACAGTTATGCGAAAGGTAAGTTTAAGTGAGCCGTCGCCTCCCGAATGTATCGTTGGTAGTTACACGTTTTGCGATAATTTTCTGCACGGTCAGATGATGCAGTATGCATTTGCTATGCGCCTATCGGTTATCCGGCTATCAGCACTACTTACCCTGAGGTTACTACCTGACCTAACTTCATTTTCGTCAGCGAGTTATAGGGTTAAGGCAATCGCATGCGCCAAGGCAGGTTCTAAATCGAATAAATGTAAAGCCCCAACACTCTAGACCTTATCCCAATCATCCTATTATTTGTCTCCCTTTTCGTCTTTTTTGTATTCTCCTGCATCATATGCAGACCTAATATTTACTATTTTATATCAGGCCGATAGGCCAAAACAGCAAGCTTAGTTTTGTCTTATCGACTTAAACAAAATTGTAAGATTTCGATTATGAAAACTCCATCATGTCACCTGATATTGCCTACCACGAAATCCATCAGAACTTATTCTTATCTTGAGCAGCACTTGACTTGCGTGAGCAACTGGAGAATTCAGTTGCCTAAATACTATACTTACTTTGGTCTTAAGAACGGCCCACATTTCCTTTTTCACTTATATGTCGACTACCTCTGAGTTATCAAAATAAGGAACATTTTTTTCCTGGTGGCAATTTAAAACATGCACGTTTTGTAGAACTTATTGATATCAAGATGTTTTGCAAGTGCTCGTCGGCTGAATCCTCTCGCTGCATAACATAAGGAACGTGTGAGAGAGCGAGAACATTGAATTTGTACAGAAATATCGATGCAAACATCTTAAATACTATTAACCGACGCCTACGTTGTAGCATTGACAGGACATACAATGCGGCCGAGCTTATGTTTTACATTCCTACAAAACCTCCACCAATTACACGCGCAATGGATGCCTTGCCAGTGAACGCCATTTCAAACTGTTTGTACGAATTTAGATGGACTTGTCGACGCAATTAAATTGGGCGAAGAGAAAGGCAATTGGCAGTCAGATCTACGGAGCAGCTGCCTAGATGGTACTTAAAGAAAGAAAGCATAATTCCTAACTTGATACGAGTATTCAGAGGACCCAAAAAATTCTTTCGAGTAGTTGTTTGGGCATGAATAAACTTGTACGTTGTGCTTCTTCGAAAGTTTCCGACGGTGTGTTTTAAGTTGCTATCATTATTGATAAGACTACGTGGCAATTTTTCATGACCTTGTTGTTTGTATCGATTTTTTTGTACAAATTCAATTTTTTGCATTCTCTCACACGTTTCTCATTGAGGGGCAGCAGCTGAAGAACACTCCCGAAATTTCTAGGTACCAATAACATCTGCAGTACTTGCAGGCTGAAAATTATCACGGTTGCGTCAGTCAGACCTAAACGTACCAAACATACGAAACAAGGCCATCTTAATTGTAGCATTAAAGAAGGACGAAAATAAATTGGGCATGACTTACGAAAAAATAAACAGTCTTCATCTTTTTGCGTTTCCAGTACATGTAAAGGCCACGGGGCGCATGTTCATGACTTCGGTTTTGTTAACATCAATCGTTACAATCTTGTCGTCCTCGAATAAGCAGGTTCCTGCCAGAAAACTGATCTGTCCAGTCCCCTAGAAGCGACTGCACAGCCGTAATTTGAGGAGCCATACCATGAGGTTATATCGGTTTCACCGGCTATGCAGCTGAGAGATGCCAAGAACAGGAGAAAGAGCATGCTTCTGTCAGGGCACGCTTTTCCTCCTTAAATATGCAGGTTCCTGACGGAAACACCTTGTCCGGAAATTTTTCCAGTCCCCTATAAGAGACTGCACAATCGTTCTTTGAGGAGCCACACCATGAAGTTACATTGGTTTTATCGCACATGCAGGTGAGAGCCGCGAAGACCAGGAGTAATGGGTTCGTGCTCCCGTTTCTGCTAATGTATCTGAGGAAGGCTGCCCGAGGGATACCAAAACGTCTGGTAAATAAAGGTGTTTTCCCGCCGATCACGTCTTCTTTACAGCAGATAGAGCAAGTAAATGCTCCTTAGTAATGGGTGTGCGTTGTATAATTAAAGCTTGGCGATACTGGTAAGCGATGTCCACAAATTTAGCTTTCAATCAACCCAAATCGTCCATGGATATGGGTTTCAGGTCTATCTGATATTAAACTTAACAAGCTGCAAACAGAGGCCCTTTCATTAGGACTTGATATCGG